AGAGAAAGAGAGAGAGAAAGAGAGAGAGAAAGACAGAGAGAGAGAAAGACAGAGAGAGAGAGAAAGAGAGAGAGAGAGAGAGAGAGGGAGAGGAAAGAGGCATAAAATAATTCATTTGCATTTAATTGTAATGGTTCAAAGAATGTTCGGAAAAATGTTCGGCCCTCCAGCACGTTCACTTCATCCAATCTGGCCCTCTTTGAAAAAAGTTTGGACACCCCTGGTCTATAGGCAAGAATAGAATTAACACCCAAGTGTTATGATTGCTGTGCCTGAGCCCTGTTCTTCCACCAAAAAAGCAGAGACGAAAAAACAGGAGTGCCCCCCCACCCCCTTTTTGAAATATTACTTAATGTTGAGAAACATTTCCCTCTACCAACTGCTATGAACACGTTATGGTCAGTTGTGAGGGGACACTGTAATTTAGAAAGTGGTTGTGAATGCCCTAGCCCAGGCTTTCGCAATTTTGGTAGCTTTAAGATAGGTGGTCGCAGTATGTGTCGTGGGAATTCTGAGAGCTGAAGTCCACCCATCTTAAAAGTTGTCAAGGTTGTGAAACCCTGCTCTAATCCAGAACAAAACATTCAAACTAGAAGTGGGGCTTTCGTGAATATACCTTTGCCGCAAAACTCGTCCGTGCTAATCACTTTCCTAATCACTCTGTATAAAAAGCTACTTCCAGGTCCTTCCTCATGTATACATCGGCAAGTGGACGTAGTCGCTATTTCAAATATGCCACGATTTCTCGCAACAATATAAAAAACCTGAGAGAATTCGTAAAAAAAAAAAGAGGGACGAAGCTCCATTAAAAGAAACCTTTGAATTTTAAAACTGTTTTGTTCTCAGGACTCTTCATTTTCGGTGAGAGGTATACAACGAAGTCCTACCTAGGCTGTCCGCAGAAACTCTGCAATTCTATTCACGGGGGGAGGAGTCCTGCAAGAGCATGCGACGCTCTGCCCGCTGCGTTGCGTCACTTCCGCACTGCGCGGGAGAAGCCGGGGAGCTGCGCGGAGGACCCTCTTCTGTGGGTGGAGCTGAACTCCTCCGCCTCTTCGGGTCAATGGCGGTTTGTTTATGCGACAGAGAGAAGGAATTCGGGATTCACGCTTAATTGTGTGGTGTTGAGGAAAGTGTCCTCTGTACATCTTCAGAGGTATCTTCTGTCTGTCCGTCCGTCTCCTTTTCCTCGTTGGGCCCGGACAACGCAGATAGAAACTAGGAGACCAAGTTAAATCTCAGGTCGGAGGTTTACGGACTGAGGAAGGGAAGTAATGGTATGCCACTTGCTTTGTACTTACGATGGATGTTGCTAGGACTACAAAAGGCAGGCATAATGATCAAGAGAGGGGAGCACTTCCATGGTTGGGCTAGATGTCAACTTTGGTTAACGTGTGTAGAAATTCTCCCTTCTATTCATTTATGAATAAAGGGTTATCCAGTGGAGCTGGCGTAAGATTCAGAACAGATTAAAAGAAGTTCAGCTTTATGCAGTATCAAGCGTATCGAGTTTAAATTGCAGTTTCAGGTGTTGGGTTCTCAACCATAAAAGGTTACGTGGCTCAGGGCTGGAGTAGCGATGGCACCATCTTTCTTCAATTGCCTCTGCCCATGCTACAAATCTGGCAGGTTGAGCAAGCTCCAGTCCCATCACTGAAACCAGTGGTTCTCAACTTCGACTGGCTGGGGTATTTGGGGAGTTTAAGCTGCGAAGGTTGACAACGCCATTTTGTGAGCTCCTGGATGGCTTTCTTCTCTGTCATCATTCTTGTCCTTTGGGTTACCATTCTCCCGGAGGTCTGTTCAGCCCTATCCCTGCTCTGCTTTAGAAAGGAATAGAAAATGTGGCTTTTCAGAAAGCCCAAGATGGTAATTAGGGATGATTGATGAGGGATGGCAGAAATGAGCTTTTATGTACCTCTCCACAGTTTAGTGAGTTTTTCTTTCTGACTCGATGGTGATATATAAGTCAAATAAATACAGTACAATAAACTGCTTATTTTTCCCACAAGTTATAACTCTGAATTTGAATGACTTTTAAACTCCATTGAAAATTAATGTTGATAATGATTATTATCACCAGTATCACAGGCAACTTGTCTCTCAATGTTAGATGGTGGAAAACAAACAGGAGGGTACTTCTGCCCTTATGATCTGCCTGTTGGCTTTCCATAGACATATGACTAGTTATTGTGGAAACAGTATTGGAACAGATAGATCTTCCATCAGTTCCAACACTATTCTTCTACCATGCTTCTATTTTTAACCTATTTTTTTAAAATCCTAACTATTTCCTGAAAAAATACAGTATTAGCTTTTATGGGAAAGAGTGGTTAATTTAAGGAGATGTTATAGAATAGTTACATTTATCTGAGCTGTTTTATTCAAGGTGGCAGTATGATTAATCAGATGTTCCCATGTTTGTATGCTTTGTAGCTGAATAATTTATTGTAAATTTTGACTTAATGGGCCATGTTTTAACAATAGACAAAATCTGCCTATATGCCATATGCTTCTGAGCATGTGTATAATTCCATTCTCATTTTATGTGTTTGTAAAATGCATAAAATATGCATGCTTGTTTCCATTCCCACTCTACACATAGATAAAACACAAAAGATGCATGGGTAAAATTTCATTTGAATTTGATAGCTTATTTAATGGATGCCTCTTTCTCCTATACCAGGGGTAGGCAACCCCAAAACAAAACACTGGGAGCCGCAAAACCCTTTTGATATCTAAAATGAAGATAACACTGCATATATCCTTTTTTACCTTATATATATATATATATATATATATATATATATATATGTATGTATGTATGTATGTATGTATGTATGTATGTATGTATGTATGTATGTATGTATGTATGCATGCATGCATGCATGCATATGTGTTTGTGTGTATATATATAATAAAGGTAAAAGATATATGCAGTGTTATCTTAATTTTATATATCAAAAGGGTCTCTCTCTCTGTCTCTCTCTTTCCTCTCTCTCCCTCCCTCTTTCCTCTCTCTTTCCTCTCTTTTTTCTTTCCTCTTTTTCTCTCTCTTTCTCTCTTTCTCTCTCTCCCTCTTTCCTCTCTCTTTCCTCTCCCCCTCTCTCTTTCTCTTTTTCCTCTCTTTCTCTCTCTCTTTCTCTTTCCTCTTTCTCTCTTTCCTCTCTCTTTCCTCTCTCTTCTCTCTCTCTCTCCTTCTCTTTCCTCTCTCTCCTCTTTCTCTCTCTCTTTCCTCTTTCTCTCTTTCCTCTCTCTTTCTCTCTTTCCTCTCCCTCTTTCTCTCCCTCTTTCTTTCTCTTTCCTCTCTCTCCTCTTTCTCTCTCTCTCTTTCCTCTTTCTCTCTTTCTTCTCTCTCTCTTCTCTCTCTCTTTCTCTCTCCTCTTTCTCTCTTCTCTCCCTTTCTTCTCTTTCCTCTTTCTCTCTCTTTCCTCTCCCCCTCTTTCTCTTTCCTCTCCCCCTCTCTCTTTCTCTTTTTCCTCTCTCTTTCCTCTCCCTCTCTTTCTCTCTCTTTCCTCTCTCTCTCTTTCCTCTCTTTCTCTCTCTCCCTCTTTCCTCTCTCTCTTTCCCTCTTTCCTCTCTTTTTTCTCTTTCCTCTCCCCCTCTCTCTTTCTCTTTTTCCTCTCTTTCTCTCTCTTTCCTCTCCCTCTCTCTCTTTCTCTTTCCTCTCTTCTCTTTCTCTCTCTCTTTCTCTTGCCTCTCTCACTCTCTCTCCTCTCTTTCTCTCTCTTTCCTCTCTCCTCTCTCTTTCCTCTTTCTCTCTTTCCTCTCTCTCTTTCCTCTTTCTCTCTTTCCTCTCACCCCTCTCTTTCTCTTTTTCCTCTCTCTTTCCTCTCCCTCTTTCTCTCCCTCTCTTTGTCTCTCTCTTTCCTCTTTCTTTCTCGCTCTCTCTTTCCTCTTTCTCTCTTTCCTCTCTTTCTCTCTCTTTCCTCTCTCTTTCTCTTTCCTCCTTCTCTCCTCTCCCTCTCCTGGTGAGGAGAGAGAGAGAACGAAAGGCAGACAGCGCCGAACAAGCGGGGAGGGAGAGTAGGACGGGTGGCACGGCGGCGGCCACTGCAGCATTGTTGGGGGTCCCAGCGGCCGCCGCCCCCACCGCATCCTCAGCCGAATGGGCTGGGAGGGGGAGTAGCACGGGAGGCAGCGGTTCCGGTGGCGGCAGCGGCGGCCACTGCAGCATTGTCGGGGGTCCCTGCTGCCCCCGGCCCGGCCACCGCCCCCGCCGCGTCCTCAGCCGAATGGGCGGGGAGGGGGAGCAGGACGGAAGGCAGTGGTTCTGGTGGCGGCGGCAGCACGGCGGCAGCCACTGCAGCATTGTCGGGGGTCCCCGCCGCCCCTGGCCCGGCCGCCGCCCCCGCCACGTCTTCAGCCACTTCGCCGTCGCAAGAGGAGGGCGCCAAGGCTGGGTGCACCATGGGTGGCCACGCCGGCAACGGGGAACACCGCCGTGGGGATGAGGGGGGGTCCTGACCCGCCGCCGCCCTTGCAGCCCAAGGTCTCCTCCTCCTGCAGCACTGAGGGTGGCGGCGGTGGCGGCGAGAGGATGGCGAAGTGGCGCGGCTGCCCGCTCGCTGCCGCCTCTTCAGCCTTGCTTATGCAACGCGGCGGCAGCAGGACGGTGAAGTGGCGTGGCTGCCCGCTCGCCGCCTGCTCTTTGGCCTTGCTCAGCGTGACCGGCGGCAGCGGGAGGACAGCAAGAGGACCGCGCAGCAGGTGGGGAAAGGGCCGGGCAGGCACCGCGGGGGAATGTCTCAAAAGAGGCCACGGGAATCCGCTGCGTGTGAGACGGCCGAAAGGTGCAGGCAGAGAGGGGAAGCTACAGAGACCCCCAGCGACCCCCTCGACTAACAGAGGCGGCGGCGGAGCAGGGCGAGAGGAGACCCGCCGGGCAGGGAAGAGGCACCCCGAGGCCGGCCACCCGCTGCTCCTTACCAGGGACACCTTTCCAGCAATCCTCCCGGCCACCACGTGCAGTACGAAGAAGGAAAGAGGTTTGTGGGCAGTCCCACAAACCAGAGAAGTTCAATCAATCAATTCAAACTTCATGAGAAGTTTGAATTGATTGGTTGAACTTTTTTAGTCCCACTTTTTTTTTCCAGACTGCACATGGTGGCTGAGGACAGGGAGCTGCAGGAGATGGCTGAAAGAGCCGCATGCGGCTCCGGAGCCGTGGGTTGCCGACACGTGCCCTATACCCTTTAAATTGTGGAGCAACCTATCTGTGTTACCTATATCAGGACTTTTCAACCTTTTCATTGATTGTACTACTTTTAGGATATGGCAATATTCGAGTATTACCAGTCACCTAGCAAGGTGTCAAAAACTTGACCAAAAAAAAAAAAGGAAAAAAGTGATCAAGTACAGGTAGTCCTTGACTTACAACAATTCGCTTAGTGACTGTTTGAAGTTACAGTGGCATTTAAAAAAGTGACTTATGACCATTTTTCACACTTATGACTATTACAGCATCTCTAGGGCCATGTGATTTACATTCGGATGCTTGGCCACTGATTCATATTTGTGACGGTCACAGTGTCCCAGGATCATGTGATCCCCTTTTGCAACCTTTTGACAAGCAAAGTCAATGGCTGGGGGAAGAGTCCACGTTACTTGCGCTACGCTGCCCAGCCCGGTTTTGGCAGGCAGTGGCACGCTCTCCTCAACGCATGGAGTGGCTGGGCTGGACGTGGCGAAGCTAGCGAGAAGCCGAACCTTCCTGGGCATGCTTGTGAGAGTCCACGGGTGAAAGGGAAGCGTTCAGAACACGGTCAGCCGCTGGGGCAAAACAGTGACCCGGGACACCAGACCCCACACACTCGCCGCCTCCTGTGCGCGTGCCCAGGCAGATTCGGCTTCTCGCCAGCTTTGCCTCTCCTGGCCCAGCCTCTGCGTGTGGTGAGGAGAGCATGCCGCTGCCTGCCAAACCGGGCAGGCTGGGGACTGGGTGGCATAGCGCAAG